TTAGAGGCACAACCAGGACACTACTGCTGTGATGGAAATATCTGCTGTTCATTTTGCGAGGAACTCAACATATTTATCTCTACATTTCTCACTATATAAACACACTATGTCTTCTGGCATTGCACTCAAATACCCCCATGAACATATTGCATGATTCAACACTAATACCTGGGTTGCTTTCCCCAGAAGTAGATCCAGTATCTTGTATGGGTAAGAGAAAAAAAAAAAGTCATTCTCAGTCAAAACCTTCCACCATTTCTAGCAACAAAGCAGCAAATTACTCCATTCCTTAGCAGACACTTTTAAAGGTCTGTATTAGTGCTGGGATTTATCAGTTTGCATCTCACAGGTTTGCTCATTCTCTTTATGATGATGATATCCACTTCACATGATGTGAGTGACCACTCTCAACTGACATACAGGAGAAACATGCTATTTTGCCCTTTTTTTTTTATTTAAACACATTCTCCTTTTCCTCTTTGAGCACATTTATACTTCACTGATTTTATTCAGATTGGTATAGTCCTTATCCTTAATGTAAAAGAGTCATCTGCTATATGAATTAGAATGGGAAAATATGTAATGCATGCAATAGGGAGGATGCACCGAGTTAGATCTAGTAAGCACCTACATCTGCCACTCCGTCATTGCTGATAGCATTTTCCTGAAGCAATATATATTCCAAACTTTGTTTTGGGAGTTTGGGAGGGGGTAAGGGGGTAGTATTGAAGTAAAAATCACAAAAAATAGAGGCAGAAACACTGCATTGGTACCTCTGACTGCAGAAGTATAGTACCTGTGTTCAATAATTTCATACAGAAAAACAATGCAGCTATACAAAAAGCTGAAAATCCCTCCAAATTCGTTGTTTCATAAGCAAGTGAAAAGATTGAATATGTAAACACATCAAGGTTGTGCTGATTATGGTCAAACACATTATGAAAGCAACATACCATCTAGAACCGTTGTTCCAGGGAACCTCATTATGCTGAGATGTATTTACATAGAAAAATAAAGAGGTAACTTGACTTCTTGATGCAATTAAATGCAATGACCTCATATCACAAAGATTGTACAGTACACAGGACAAAAATACATTGTCTTGATGCATTTGGCCTACGTACACTTGTGTTGCGGCTATTTAGCATTTTCTTCTTGAATTCAGAGAGTAGAGTTTGTGTGCTCCAAAATGCAAACTTGCTTTCCAGCTCTGTTAATAGGTCAAGAAGTTAAAAGCAACCAAAGATGCACCAGGCCAGAGGTTAAGATGTGGCTGTCTGTCCAAGAGCTGTCAGCATTGTGCTAGGTAGTACAGCTAACTACCACAATAAAGGCTTGACTTGAGACTCAAGTAAGGATAATGCATGTTGCTTCCTTACCCCCTGCCCTGAAAAGCTTATTTCCACCCCAGCATACATACTTTTGGGAGACAAGCTTAAGCCTCCAGAGGGGAAAATGCCTCATTTTCAAGAAATGAAGCATTTACTATATATATGTATATATTTTAACTCCAATAACAATCTCCCCAGTGTATTTCCCAAGTGTCTTGATAACACGTTTTATGATGCAAACATGAAAAGCACTAACAGCTTTTTATTTCCAATCAGCTCTTCATTTCCTCTTTCACTGCAGACATTCCTCTCAGCATAATCCAGAGCCAGGTCATCCTGCACTACAAGGATGACAAGCTCCCACTAAATATTTCCAACGTAACGGCTGACCACACACATGCTGTTAGCTCACACCTAATGCCAAGCAAAACCTTAACATCTGCATCAGCTTGCTTTCAGAACGGGACATGGAACATACTTTAAATTAGCACTTGGTCACATCTGCCTTGGTCATTTCAGCGGAAGAGGATGCTACATGAAAGCCAGAGTTTTGAACCAGGAGCTTGAAATGGACCTTGAAAAACAGCAATGAGTAGCAAAATGAAGGGCAATGCAGCAACTCCAGATAGCGCACGCAAAAGAACAATGTGATATTTTTTTTTTTTTTTTTTGAAGCACGATAGGTACAAAGTAATGCCTAAAATGAGGAATAAAACTGAAGAATGTGAAAGTTATATTCTGTTAACATATTCTTCTTTGGTAATCTTCACAATCTATGCAAAGCACTTTACATCCAGTCAGTGTCATACTTCTGTGGCACAGTGTCAAGATACTCGGGTACCTTCATATGCCGACAAAGTCAGAGCGGGTACTGGAATTAGTGGCATTGGTGCAGGCCCTTATGTGGCAGCACACACTAAGCGCCACCTCGGCTGCATTACCTGCTTCTGTTGTGGCTCTTCTCTTCTGCCTTCTCCCAAGAACAGCCACATTCAAAACCCTATACCACACCTAATGCTGGAGCAGCCTACTCCTGAAAGCAAGTCCTTCAGGAGAGATTTACCAGTTTTAAGTATACACTGGTATAATTTCCTTAAATACACAAACAAAAACCCCTTAATCTGGAACCAGAGCACACACAAGTTACACACACGGACTGTGCCAGTGTAAGCTGTTGCTGCCCATTATTAACCTCCCTGCTCAGCTCAGCTCCTCCTCCGCAGGAGACTTGCCTCTGAAGTCTGCGGGCACACTTGCTCATGTGAACATTCCCCAGCCTGCTTCAGTCACGTTTTCACATTTCTTCAGCCAGCCTAAGCCATTTTGATTGAATCAGGTTAGAAACCACTGATATGAGTAGCTCTACAAACAGCCACCACCGAACAACAAACAGCTAAGTGCAGAAACCTCTTTCATCAGTTCAGGTGGATATGAATCCCATCAAAAATCTCAGCCAAGGACATTCAAAGAGTCATAGATTCACACCAGCAGTATAGCTACACTCTTAAGCATCCCCTAGCCACATGAGCCCTTGAACTGTCCATTCGAAGCTAATTTTGGGGGCCACATTGGTAAATCTCTCTCTATTTTAAGACTAGTAAGAACTACCCTCTTAGACAATCTGGTTCAAGGTTTTGCAAGTCTCTTGCACTGCTTCAGCTTCAGATAAAAAAAATTAAAAATCAGGTATAAAAATAGGAAAGCAGTAAAAGAAGAGTGACAGTAGGGAAGGGGGATGTCAAAGATGGACATTACTGTAATTTAATATATAAACCTAAACTTTTTAAATTCAAAGAGGTAGTGTCCAGGGAAGCCCTATCAATTAAAAGTGTCAAGAAGCACAAAAGGGTGATACTTTTGAGAAAAGTTTTTTGGTTGTTATGAGAGCAAGACAGTTTGTAATTCTATATCCCACAGAAGCTTCAAGAGAATTTACAAAAAAGTTTGTTCACATAAAGACTATACTAACTGGACCTTCAGAATTTTTCTCCCTTCTCATATCTCTTGAGAATCATCACAACCTATTGACAAGGCAATACTGACAGTATTAATAACCTCTGCATGCTGAAATTGTCATTTGGTTAAACACAGTCACACAATAAGACTTAAATTCTGTTCATAACCTCCCTTATACTCACAGGTACCAGCAGTGGAACAAAACCTGATTTGCCCCATTATACACACCCTAACATTCCTGCAATAGAAAGGATTAAGGATGGAGTTTCAGGCAGTATTCCAAGATTAGTCTCTTGTTAGATAGTCTATAGTATTTTGTTGAATTGTCTTTTTAGAAAATCAGAGTCTAAGTCTAGAATGAAACATGTCTGCAAAGTAGATTGAGGTACTTGGATTCTGCTAGATTCAAAATTTGAGAAAGACTAAAGCTTACAAATGCTTTTTTTGGTACAACAGAAATGCACTTAAAAAGAGTAGTACTACTGAATGTTCATGGTTAGAAATAATCCTCAACAAATCTGCATGCATCCACGTCAAACATTCATTTAACAACCATTAAGTTTGACTCTTTATAGATTTTTTTCAAAAAATAGAACCTAAATTGCTAAAACCAAGGCAATCTCTGTATTTTCAGTTCAAAAGCTTTAACATACCAGTACACTCTGAGAAGTGAGGGACAGTGAATATCAACAGTAGATTTCAGATTTCCTTTGGCCTTTTAGGCTAAGCTTGCCATTTACATTTGAAAGATGATTCCTCCTAACGAATAGTTTCTGCAGATCTGGGAGGAATGTGTTGAGTTTTGCATTACAGGTAAGTGTTGTAATGGAAATTTTCTGAACTAGGGAGAATTACAGAGTGATGATGAGCCTTGAGTCCTATTTTCTCCCAGTGCTTTTAAACTCTGTGTTGGTCTTGACAGAGCAGAAGATTCTGAAGGCCAGAGTTCTAAGTCACAGATGAGGTTTTGATGACAATCAAGATAAGAATTATATTCCAATATATTTCTACTGAGTATGTTGTCAGATTTTTCTGTTTCCAGAGCTAAAGTGTTTAAAACTGTCTAAAGAGACATCCTTCAAGTCTGTAGAGGAAAACCCAATGATACAGAAATGGATTCTCACCCTATGTTGTCAGTGCTCCTACCTCTCATTATATGCACACTTTGCAACCTCAAAAATACTAATTAAACACAAACAAGGTGTTTTAGACAGTCAAAATCACACATTTACACAGCAGCCACTGTGAACTTTATTAACAAAAGAAGTGTTTGCCAGTTAAACTGCCATCACTTTATTGACTTCTCTGCTTACTTGTAGAAAATCAGTTCTTTCATAATGGCTCTGGAAATCATTTATTGCCAGGTAAATGTTGAATCACTGGCAACATATGCTCTCCCGGGAACTCTGGCAGCCTTACCATGGAAAGAGCTATACACACCTTTGCAAAACGCAAAGTAAGCAACACGTCTTTCATTCAAGCAACAAGTCATTCTTGAGACAGATGTCATGCTAGCCAAACAGCAAAAACACCTTTACATTAAGCAATCTTTTCTATCATGACAGTTCCATGAAATGAAGTGCAATTTGTGAGGGAAAAAAATCCATAAGATACCAGTTATGCATTCTCTTCATGTAACTCTGTAGTCAAGTCTTATTTCTCAGGCTGGAGAGGCTGAGCTAAAATGAAACACAGCACGATGATCTATCTTCATGAAAATGTCCCGTTTCTAATGCATCTGCTTTTGCCTCCTTTCCTCTTTAATAGTCCTATGCAGTCCTGTGCATTAGAAGTCAGGACAAGGCTTCTTCATTCATCTGGAGTCAGAATTACATTCAATCCTGTAAGCAACTCACAAAGCAGTCTATACACATCTCTGAAAAGAAGTTCTCCATTCCTAAGTAATCCAACCATCACAGAAGATATTTCCCTATTTCTTGAACTCCAGAAGTTGTTTTAATTCCTTTTTCATCTTCATCTTGTAGCCAAGTGGCAAAATAGCATTGTCATGGGCTACATACAGTAGGATTTAATCTTTATTAATAGCTTCAGTAGATTGCCCGAGGATTTTTAGTACTGTAGTAGGCTTCACATGCAGCTACATAAGCAGATTCTGGGAAGAAGTCATCATGGTATTCTGCTAAAAACCTGAGAAGAAAGCACACCAAAAAAAGAACAGAACATGAAACATTTAAGAGAAAAGCTATTTTCAATTTAATTTTTAAGCTCAGCAAAACAACAGCCTGGAAATTAAGAGTTATTACACTTTGAAATTTGGCATACAAAAGGCTTGCCCTATTTTTACAAGTTTTACAGCTTTCCCCTATCATTCTTAAATCGAAATTGCATTAAAAAAATAGCTCAAGCTCAATAAAAAGAAAATCTGAAAGTTGAATCTACACTCAGAAAAGAATGCCAAGAACTATCAAAAAAGGAAAAAAAAAAAGTGAGCTCATTCTGCAACTTCTGTCAGTCACCTGCTCAGCATACCACTTTAATTTATGTTAGAACCAGGATTTTCAGTTATCACTATGTCAGTATCTTATACAAATGTCTAGTAATCATTAAGTCAAACTCTACCTTTTAAGGTAAGTAAATCTACGATTTGTTCTTTCATATGCCTGTGCATTTAGGGTCTCCACCCCTCATAAGTATCTGATTTAAATATGGCTCTCAGACAAATACGCATCCTTTGCAAATCCAGTTCCCTAACTTGAGACTTCTCCAAGCCAGTCTTCAAGTATTGTTCAAACAGACAAGCACCCAATATTTTATCATGTCTTCCTGCTCTGCTAACATAAAATTCTTTCTTTCGTTTAGGACTGAAAGCTACTAACACCAGTAATAAACAGCTAAAATGACTACAAACTCTCTGCTCTTTCATTTGTAAACAAAGATACCAGGTATACAAATGGGAGCAAAAGGGCAAAACAGTTCTTAAACCCTGAAGCACATGATCAAGTTGTACTTCAGAAAAAAAAGACACTCAAAAATACCTGGATATTAAAGATCAGCACCAATAAACATGGCAAAATGTTACCTACAGGTTCTCTGAGTTACAGCAGGAAGCAATGGAAACAACAGAAAACAATGTCATTTGCAGAATCTGGTTTCTCTCAAGAACTACTGGCTAGGGAGATGACCTCACTATTGGAAGCTAAAAATATCAGTTTTGCATAACCAATACCCTGGACATAGAAAATCCAAATTAAAAAAAATGTACAGGTGAATGCAATTAAAACCATAGTGTTTCTCCAACCTCACTCACAGCTACACTGCCTGAACTAGGCATGTCCTTGGATCTTAAGAAAGCCAAAGCATCAAAGAATACTGACAAGATTCTCTATATAAGGCAATCTAAATTTAATCAGGAATATATTAATTGCTGAGAGCTCATACATAAAGGTTACAGTACAAAAAGATAAATAAAAAAGGCCAATTTTTACACACACACACACACACACACACACACACACTTGTACTTAAACATGGGCATCAAACAAGTGCTGAACTGGAGTAATAACTGGTTAAATCCTACTAATTCAAGGAAAAGCAGTGAGAAATACAAGCCTTTTTGGAAGAAATCAATCCTTCAATGTGTCATCATTTATTTAGAAGGCAGTTTGTCAGCTTCCTCCATACTTGCTTATTTCATACGAGTTCTGTAATTAACGGTATAGAAGGACCTAGGGTAGTTTCTGATGTAAATATTTCAGGTTTAAGACATGGAAGTGAACAGGCTGGACAACCAATACACTTCCAGAAGATCAAATGCCAGCTTCTTTTTGTTTTCGAACATTATCTAAGGAATTGAGCAGAAAAGACTCTGTTACATAACCCGTAACAGTGTCTAATCAAGCACATAACTTCTGTCAATATTCACCTGGGGCAGGCACTGCCAAAAGGGAGAAATCTCTCTCTTGTATTTAAAGCAAGGATCCAATTGGCTCTGCCACAAACTGACACCACGTAAGCTATCATAATAAATGTGTAAGACCTAAGTAAATTTGAAGTTCCACACAGTCTTCATTCACACAATCTTAAGTGCCTTAAATACTTTAGCATACTTTTTGTTTATAAGTATTCGTACTACGCTAATTTCTCATTGGGTCAAACAGCAGCTTCCAATTTTATTAGAAAACACAATGCAAAAAGGATTACATAATTAAGGTTGAGAGATAATTAAAAAAACTTCTATGAAAACTATTTTGTTAAATCAAAAATTTTTGTTTAATATTACAGCATGTTACAGTTGCGTTATACCAATTTTCTAGTCACAGATATAAAGACATTTAAATAAATTAAATAAAACATCAGTGAAATATTTTCCCCTGAAATGCAACAAACTACTAAATAGTGAATCCAGATTAGTTAAACTTTGGCAAAAGAATGAGCCTGAAAAAAATAGTTTTATTCTTTTCTTGAACTAAAATAGGACAAATCTAGACTAAAGCCACCAATACTTGATTGATACACTGTTTGAACCACATAACTTACGTGATTTGCTAGCCCTTGTCATTAAAACCGTTCACCACCTACTTTTCTAGGCTTACCAGGCCATAAAGTTGCTCTAATACTTTATAAAATGCTTTCTTCCATGAGATAGAGATACCCGTTAGAAAATAATCCAAGGAAACACAAAAACAATTCACACAGATTGTCCTAATCTTCACTGAACTATGTAATTCATTTGCACTACACACACCCCTTACTCTAGGAAAACCACTACAAGAGACTACTGAAATTATAGCAAATTACAAGCTAATAAAATACCTGAGTCATCAACTGCTATGACCTCTGACTGTAGTTAGCCACAAATCACTTTCTAGTGATACATAGACTGCACAAGATTAGGATAAGCCACAAATGGAATTTAATTAAAAATTCATGTTAATACATGCATTGATGACTTCTAGACATAAACAGTGAGTACGAACTACACGGGACAATCAAATTCTTAGTGTCATTGGCTAATATTCCATAAAACACAATACCAAGTGCTAGATCATACGAAGCAGTATGTTTTAAAAGAACATCAATAAAACAAAGAAACCCGTAGAGGACATTGGGTAGCTGACAGTTCCAAGAATTTTAAGGGCAAGTAATGGGAAACAGGTTCATTTTCTCTTACAAATTTGCTGACTTGTGCTTAAGATCAGTCATAAATGCCAGTTTGGTGCAAGCTAAAGTGACAGCTGGTAAAGATGAGAAATTTTAGCCAAGATGCTTGTGGCACAGCTACAAGCCCCCCTCAAAAAAAGCAGGCAGAATACATGCAGTCAAACGTACATCTGTGTTCTTAATGTAACAGTTGTGAAAAGCAAAATACTCCAGAGCTAGAAGATAAACTACTTTCTGCAGAGAAGCAGGAGGAAACAGGCAAAAGAACATGAGGTCAGCCACTGTCCCAGTCCCTTGTATATCTGTAAACAAAGAGCAGTGGCCCTTATAAAGCTACTTTCTACTCGAACTCCAATGCAGCGCAGAAAGCTGGCACAGAAATATTTGAAGTCTACTGGATATTTCACTAATGCTTTGCTCTTAGAAAAGCTGAAATAGCACAAAGATCAATTTCACTGGCACCTGCAAGTCATGAGCCAAGATTTTAAAACAGAGGGAGCTGTACTTAGGAAGCAGAGCCAATGTCCAGCTATAGAGAGAAAGTACGTTGCTATTTAGCTATTCAGAAATTGTTTCATTACTTTTAACTTACAAACCTGATAAATTTGGTCACTTGTTGCATTATTGCCTTTTTCATTTTCATAATTTTTACAGAGTTCATATGTTATACCTACACAGTGACTGAGTTTTGCGATGCACAGATGTCCACACAAACATCCTGATGTAAGAGTGCACACTTTTTTCTCATCATGAGCATCCACAAAAAGAATGCATACGCTTTACACTCCTGCTCAGAACATAGAGATAACAGAGCACAATGCACCTACTTCCCTCTCTACCACAGGTTCCTAGAAGAGCAACACTTCAGAAACGACTAGAGGGGATAGAGACAAAGGAAACGGACACATGGGCAACCTAGCTTGAAGAATTCCTATGTTCTAATCTTCAGGTGTAGCAGTCCGTAAGCAAGCTTACCTCAGATGACTCCAAGCAATAGCCTCACAAATATACTATCATCAGGCTGAGAGTTACGCAGGCAGATCTACCAAAGAGAGGCACAGAACTATCGTTATCGACATTAAAAGGCCACTTGACATATATATATGTCAGGAACATTTCTCAACAGTCACTGAATTAATACAAGCTTTAAGAGCATCATCTAGTAGCAAAAATGTCCTTGTCTTGGCACTGTCAACACAACCTTATTACCTGAACACTCTTTGCATGAAGAAAAACAATCTTCTAAATGTCAGCTACCGTGACATAAACAAACTCAGGGATGGCCTGAAAAGAGTGAAAATTATGAAGAAAGGAAAACCTTAATAATTTTAAGAAGGACACCTAAGCCATAGAGGTATAAGAATACAGGGTTAAACGGAGAAGTTTCCAGGAAGGTAACATCTTACACACTTTCGCTACAGCTCTTAGTTCTAGAAGGTAAGCAGGTGCTTTGATGAGATCAGATACCTGGCCTAGATGCTGTCTGAAACACAACTGTTAATGATCTATCTACAGGAATTTCCTTAAAGAGCATGGTGAGTCCTAACTCTATGAGTCACCTCATCAAAAGAAATGTAATTTGCAGATTAAGAAGTTATCTCCTCTCCAAGACTACTACTCAAATGCAGGAGTTGAAAGCTAAAAAGCTTAGTTTCACACAAAAGTGTACGCCACCACCTGCCCCCCACCCCCTCCAATTGACAAGCATGTCTTCATCTGGAGGCTGTTCAGGGCAAAAAGCTCACCAACACAAAGTTCATCATAACCCCAATGCAGTCAAACAGAAGAAGTGAAGTGAAAAGTTTCAGATGTTTATTCTGATATCCAGTGACTCAAAAACCATGCTAAAGGAACCAGCAGGCTTGTTTTGTTGACTGGGCTCTTGTTACTCATCCACATACAGAAACAGAGATCATCTTCCTTGGCCTTTAAGGGGCAAGTGCAGAAAACTGTGAAGATGCCAATCTGCCAACATAACATTTCAGGTAATCAGGGTAAGTGGAAATTAAAAGTGGTACCTTCTAGTA